AGGGGGGGGGGGGTTCTGAATGGAGAAACGGAAGTAAAGAGAGGCAGACAAAGACCATAAACAACTCGCTCTGAGAACTTGAACTGGTGGGTGATGTGGAGATACTTCAACCTATATTTTTTTGAGCATCTGGGTAGAGAAATGAGGAGCGAACTATGATTGCCGATGTCTGACACGGCAGGCTGATGAACCACTCATAAAAAGGCCTTACCAACAATATCTCTTTTAGGTCCAACAGCCATTGAATTCCAGCTGAAAGAATATTTTGACGGCCAGTTAGTGAATCCTTCACAATGCTTGCTTACGAAGACCACGTACCTTGAAGGAAAAGAGTTCAACTTTTATTAGGTAACATCCATTTATCAATGTGAAACAGTTGCAAATATATAAAAGTCTGAATCATAATAGTGGACATATCTCTTATCCGTCAGTTCTTTCTACGACATGAGTAAAGCCACGAAGAACAATTCTCAAACTGCATTAGAAAGCCTACTGGTATGAGAAAACTACCCTCAAGTTATATATTATGTTGAGTCATCTTATACACCTTATTGACCTCGATTATTAAAGACTACACTGATCCAGTGTCCTCTGGAGTAGTGTTATATTATTGAATTTTATGTGATGTTGGTGTAGCTTGGTTTGTTTTGGGTACACATTTATTGCACATGCTATACAAGGGTGGATCAGAAAGTAGTGGAATATGTTATCTAGCGCTTAAGTTTTTTTTACTTCCTTCACAAAGCAATACTCATAATTTATCTGTAAATGTCTACTTTCGAATTGAAGACTGGAGTTTCATTGTGATGTCACTCTTGATTATTTTATGGCGTTACAAGCAAAGGATGCTTTGCACTCTAGTGAAAACTAGATGGAGTTAACAAAAGAAGAAATACTTTTCAACATCTAAACGCTCTGTAAACTTAGTGAATCTCTAAAAAAAAAACTGATTCATGAAAATTAGCAAAATGCTTGTGATGAATGTGCTTATTCATATAACACTAGCACAATTTGCCACTGGATAAGAGAACTTAGTGAAGGGAGAGACACAGTTTTGGATGACCCATGTTCTTGCAGCCTAAATTACTGTGTGAACGAGGTAACCGTTTATTTTAGCGGGCATACTTTTTTTATGTTTTTTTATTTTGGTTTGGTTGGGGGGGGGGGGTTTTTTTT